TCTCTGTGTGTGTGTGTGTGTGTGTGTGTGTGTGTGTGTGTGTGTGTGTGTGTGCTGCACCAGTGGAGGCCTGAGATTGGTATTGGGAGTCTCCTTCAATTGTTCTCCTTTTTTTTTTTTCTTTTCAATGAGTGTTTTGTTTGTTTGTAGTTATGTGTACCATGCACATGCCTGGTGCCCCTGGAGGTTAGAAGAGGGTATCAGATCTCCTGGAACTGGAGTTCTAGACTGTTGAGCCACCGTGTGGGTGCTGGGAAGTGACCTTAGGTCCTCTGCAAAGACAATAAATGATCTTGACTACTGAGCCGTCTCTCCAGCACCCTGCATCTATCTTATTTTTTGAGACAGGGTCTTTCACAGAACATTGAACTCCAAGTTTCCGCTTGTCTCACTGGCCAATGAGCTACAGGGATCTGCCTGGTTCTGCTCCCTGCTCCCAGCGTGGAGACAGGCTATCAGCATGCTTTACTGCACCTGGCCTTTTCACAATGGTGCTGGGGATCCAAACTCAGGTCTTCATGCCCGCCCAGCAGACACTTTACTGATTCAGCCCTGAATGACTGCTTCTGTGTGTGTGTGTGTGTTTAGTGTGAGTTTAGTATGTGTATCTATGAATGCACATCTGTGTAGGTTTAAATGGAGCGAGACTATGTGTATATAAAGCTCAGGAAAGCTCTGAACTATGGCACCCTTGCAGAGAAAGCTGCTTCCACCCACATGGGAATGTCACTGCGCCAGATGTGGCAGGCCATCATCAGCTAGGCACACATTATTCCAGAAGGTCCTGAACTAAGGACGTTTCTGGGAGCAATCAGGCATCGTGCACACACACACACACACACACACACACACACACACACACACACACACACACACACACCCTTGCCCTTGAAATCAAAGGGTCAAGTATGAGTGGTCTCAGCTAGCGCTTCAGGCTGTCCTTAGAGATCCATGGAACCTATAACCTGTTTGGAATTCTACCCTCAGAGGAAGACAAGGGACCCCAAAAGGAGGTCTTCATCTGGCTTTCCATACATCTATTCAAACAAGGAGTGCTGGGATGAGGTGAGGTGAACTTCAGTAAGTGGAAGACCCCAGAGTCCAGAATAAGAACAGGAAAAAAAAGCCAGGGCTGTGGTGGCACAGGCCTTTAAGCCCAGCACTCGGGAGGCAAAAGCAGGCAGATCTCTGTGAGTTTGAGGCCAGCCTGGTCTATAGAGCGAGTTCCAGGACAACCAGAGCTACACAGAGAAACTCTGTCTTGAAAAAAAAAACAGGAAAAATGATCAAGGGTAGATAATGACCAGAACAAAGTGAGTCTCAAGGCCAAGGAGATAATACTGCTGTCAGAGAAAGAGTCACAGTAGAGTCCTGGTCTTAAGAGACAGGGTGTTAAATGTTCAAACAGATGTCCCACCAAATCCTTCAGCCCTCCCTGTCCCAGAAATCTGCATAGGGCAGTCAGTTCCCAGGAAGCCAGCCTTCCTTCTATGTTGTGTCCACTGGCCCTGTTAGGTGACACTCAGGCCCTGTTCTCAGTGAGGTGCAGTCCAAACATCAGGCACACATGCCTCTTACCTTCCCGAGCTCTCTCCCAGCCAGGAAAGGGCAGAAATGAAGTTAGAAAACTACCCCAACTAAGGGCAAGAGCCTGGTTCTGTGTGTCACCTTTAGATAAGAAAAAAAGCAAACAAGAAAAAGGGGCATGAAGATGGTTCAAAAGCAGGTCTGGAAGCCGGAGAACATCTCTGCAGTTAGAGCACTGGCTGCTCTTGCAGAGGAAACAGATTCTGTTCCCAGCACCCGTATGGGGACTCGCAAATGTCTCTAACTCTAGTTCTCGGGGTTCTGGCGCCCTCTTTTGGCGTCTTCAGGCACTGCTTTATATGATGCATGTATATGCATATAGGCAAAACACTCACACACAGAAAATTTAAATTAAAACAAAAATAGGTCTTTGCAGAAGGGCCAGCGTAACACGAGAATCCATCTGCCTTGTACTGGGGGTAGGTGGAAATCCAGCCAGGCTGAACTTTTCAAGAACGACGAGATCTAACTCCAGCGAGGTTCCAAGGTTTGAGAACTCTGCCCCTTTCCCTCTCTCCCTCTGCCCAGGGTCTGACTCAGACTATGCACCGTCATGTGGATCCTGAGGCCCTTCAGAAGATGGTCAAATGTGCTACACAGGACTACACCTATAAGAGTTCCATATCAGGCCACCCTTACTTGCCTGAGAAATACTGGCTCTCTCAAGATGAAGGTAGGCTCGCAACCTCTTCCTAATTTCGACCTTAGAAGTGGCCCCAGCAATGGCCCTCAAATTGAACCCATTTGGATCCTGGTCTCCGTCCTGACCTTCTTATTCATGACCTTCTTATTCTTCTTATTCCCTAATTGATCCCCTGTGCAACCTGATACCCTGCCCCCTATTCTAGCCCTTGACTCTAGAGAAGACTCAAAGCCATGTTTTTTTTTTTTTTGTTGTTGTTGTTTTGTTTTTTTAAGTTTGCAGTCTCAAAATAGAGGTAGGATCTAACCAGGCATGGCGACATATGTCTACAGTCTCAGCTACGCAGGAGGATGAGGCAGGAAGGTCACTTGAGCCTGGCAGTTTGAGGCCAACCTGAACAACATAATCAGTGAGGTCTCATCCCCAGCAAGGTGGAGAGAGGGTTAAACCTCCTGCAGGTCTCATCTCTTCGTCCCCTCAGCCACCCTTTCCCGCCGGCTTTCTCCAATTCTGTCTTTCAGCCCCTCTACAGCCTGGGGCATTTTCTTTCCACCTAAAATGCGTTCTCTTGTTCTTCTCTTTCACAGAGACATAGTCTAGACTCATATTGTTTATGAAAAAAAAATCACCTTTCTCCTTTGGCCACACGTTTATGATCTGTCTCCCTACCTATTAAGGAAGGACGGAACGCCGTCTTAGTGACAGTTGTGCCCTCTCCGTCATGGGGCTTCATCGGCACTTTTCTTCCTAAGTATCTGTTGAATTAACTGATAGTTCCCAGTTAACGTTGAGAGCCTGGGACACTGACATTACACTTGTGCGTGAGATTCTCACACCCGTGGGAACGCCACGTGGTTGGCCTCTGAGACAAGCCCTGTGTCTCACTCTTCTGGCCTCTCCCTGAAATAACCTCCTCCCTCAGTTTCCCTTTCTTTCGTAACTCGTAACTCGTTGTGGGAATGGGAGCCACCATCTCTGGCCATTTTATGTACCCCATGCATGGCTTTTTGTTTTTGTTTTTGTTTTCTGTGTAGTTTTGGTGCCTGTCCTGGATCTCGCTCTGTAGTCCAGGCTGGCCTCGAACTCACAGAGATCTGCCTGCCTCTGCCTCCTGAGTGCTGGGATTAAAGGTGTGCGCCACCACTGCCAGGCCCTCGTGGCTTTTTTTGATTTACTTATTTTTATTTTCTGACCATTGGTGTTTTGCCTGCATGTACATCTGTCTCTGTGTTGGATCCCCTGGAACTGGAGTTACAGACAGGTGTGAGCTGTCATATGGGTGCTGGGAATTGAACCCAGGTCCTCTGGAAGAGCAGCCAGGGCTTGTAACTGTTGAGCCATCTCCCCAGTCCCGTGGGTTTAGTTACTATTATTGCAAATCTTTCCGGCCTTGTTGACCTCTCGCTAGCATCCCACAATCTTGTACTCTGAGCAATGTTCAATTCAAACATCTCAAACTTAGTGGCCAAATCCCCCAGCTTTGAACAGCAAATTTAACACTCCTCCCCTCCCATCAGGAAGCTGTTTTTCTTGGGCTTCTTTTATGATTTTGTAGGGTTTGGTTTGGTCTGATTTGGTTTGGTTTGGTTCATATGTACCCGTGGCTAGTGCACAACTGGATATGTAGACCAGGCTGTCTGTTTCCTGAGTGCTAAGGTTAAGAGCTGTGTCACCATGCCCAGTCTTTTAAGTATTTTTATTACATTTATCAGTTTTGTATGTGTTTATATGGGGGGGGGGCAAGCCCATATCATAGCCCATATGTGGAGGTCAGAGGACAACTTTGTGGAACCACTTTTCTCCTTCTACCATATGAGTCTCAGGGATTGAACTCAGATTGTCAGACTTGGTAGCAAATGCCTTTACTCATTAGATCTTTCTGTAGCCCAGGTTAGCCTAAAATACACAATATCACCCAGGCCCTCCAACCTAAGCCCCACAAATGCTGGGATTGCAGGAATGCACCATCAGGCCAGAGTTCTCATTCATCCTGTCTCTGTCCTTCAGGTTTTGGGGGAGTGGACCAGAGAGGGCTTTGTAGGACACGGTTAAAAGATGAAGCAGTACTTAAAGGTTTTGAACTAGAACAGTATCTTGTTTGAATTTCACTAGTGGAAAAGTATCATAGCCTCTATGTTGATGTTGGGTTGTAGAATTTCAAAGATGGAGCAAGTAGACCGGTAGACTAATCATAATAGCTTCTGTATGCCAAGCATTCTTTCCCTTTTCTTCTCCTCCCCGTTCCCCACTCCTCTTCTTTAGACAGGGTCTCCTGTAGCCTAGAGCTGGCCTTGAACTCAATTTGTAACCAAAGAGGACCTTAAACTCTTGATCCTCTTGCCTCCACCTCCTCAGGACTGGGAATGTCGGGGCTGTTTGTTTGTTTGTTTGTGTGTCCTTAATCAAGATATCATCATATAGTCCAGGCTGGCCTTGAACTCAAAGCAATTCTCCTGCCTCAGCCTGCTGGAATTACAGGTATGGGCCACCGCGTTCAGCATTTTTCTAAAACTTCTGTATAGATGAACTCATCTAGACGTCACAACAAATCCTATACTTTTCCCCCTGCAGTGCTGAAATCTGAAGCCAGGCACTGAACCATAGAGTATATCCTGCTAACCATGACATTATTTCTGTCTCCTGGTGAAGGCGACACAGGGATAAAGGAGTGAGCTCATAGAGGAAGAGGGAAGAAATTCAAGCCATTTTAAGGTTGAGTAGGCAGACCTTGGGGCCGGGCTATGCTAGAGAGGGAGGCCCCATTTCCAGGCTGGCTGATTCAAAGACAGTGCGGACCAGGTGAAAGCGGCTAGCACAATGTACCCAAACCTTGGTCGAAAGCGTCGCTTAGGTGAGACATGACCTGCGGCTCGATGGCAGAAAACAAGGGTGGCAGACAAGGGTATGGTATTCCAGGCCTGTAGTCCCAGCACTAGAGAAGGTGAGGTAGGAGGATAGACAGACTGAGGCTAGCCTGGGCTACATAGAATTCCAGACTTACATAGTAAGATCCCGTCTCCAAAACGAAGAAGTGAGTGGTGGGGGATCTGCAAATCTGGACTTGGGAACTGGGGTCAGTGAGGGTCAGCTTGGTGATAGAGATCAGAGGAGAGACATTTAGAAGGTCCCAGGCTCTGGATGGACTGAGAAGTAATCCTCCCTGACGTCTCCACCCCTATGCTGAAGAGGACAAATGCTGTACAAGCTACCTGGATAATGACCGTTACAACTCATGGAGGACAGGACCACCTTACAACAGCTACTGGAACAAGTATACCACCTGTCTTCCCCGACTGCCTAAGGTACCGGCTGTGCCGCCCACAATTACCTGAGGTCTGGGACGGACACACACACACACACACACACACACACACACACACACACACCGTCTCCACACTGCGTTCACTCTTCCCCATCTATAAAGGTAGGGCTGCTTTTTGTTTTGTTTTGTTTTGTTTTGTTTTCATTTTTTAGCTGACAATGGAGGCCAGGAATTGGCCTGTGATAGAGCCCTGGGTTCCAGTCTCTGACCCAGTTTGGTGGTGTCATGGCTGGTGTGCACTCCTTGACCGTTTGGAAGCTTACCAAGTAGTGCTGCCTCGTCTGGTCTAGCTACTGTGACACCAGTGCCGCCTTTGACTCAGTAACGAGCTAGGTCCTCCCTGGCCCGCCGTCCCCTCCTTTATGACGGGAGCCCGGGCAAGGAGAAGAAGGAGACTGCTCAAGCGCAAAGTGAATGCCGGAGCCTTCGAAGGATAGGGAGTCTCCGTGAGGCCCAGGCCTTTCTCCAGGCGTGTGAGGCCGACTGAAATCCAGAGCGGCCGAGCTTAGCTGGAAGCTGATAGCTGACTGAACCCTTTTGAAATAGAACTTTCTCCTGAATCGGATCCACCACCGCAACCACCCCGCCCCGCCCCCGCCCCCGCCGCCAAGAGATTCTGATGAGCAGGCAATATTAACCAGAGCCCCCCTCCCCACATTAGAGACGCGCAGATACAGATAGCGTATAGGTAAATGCTAACTAGCGTTGTCAGAGTCCCAGACCTAAAAAACACCTTTACCACCCACCCCTCCCGCGGGTTCTGGCATCCTCACCTTCACCTTGCCCGCGTAGGCGGAGCAAATGCGTTGCCCAGCAACAGCTCCAAACAACCCAGGAGAATAGGGGAGCTGCTGAGGAGGGGAAACTGCACCACCTGGAGACGGTCTGGGTATTCAAGGAAGACAGCTTCTCCCCTCCCCTCCCCTCCCTTCCCCCCACCCCCCAAAAGGAGCAACTATCTCATGTCAGAGCCTAAGGTAGCACGTGTGCCGCTTCCAGGATGCCGGGATGGAGACAGCAGTACGAGGAATGCCGTTGGAGTACCCTCCTAAACCAGAACGCCTCAACGCCTACGGTAAACGGCGGGCTGGGCAGGGGAAGAGGATTACTGAGAGCCAAGGAGGAAGCCAGAGGGCAGGATGGGGATCTGGGGAAACCTAGAGAGAGTGTAATTGTGTCTGTCCCTGTTTTTGTCTCTGCCTCGGGCTCTGATCCTGCTTTTTTCCCCATCCCTCTGGCGCTGTCTTTGGGTGTCCTGGACTCTGGGCTCAGAGCGCGACGTAGTGGTGAACATGCTGAACTCGCTGTCCCGGAACCGGACTCTGCCCCAGATTGCGCCCCGCTGCGGGTGCGTGGACCCTCTGCCGGGCCGCCTGCCATTCCAGGGCTATGAAAGCCCTTGCTCGGGCCGCCACTACTGTCTGCGCGGGATGGACTACTGCACCACCGGGGACACCGGCACAGAACGCCGCCTGCGGCCTTTGTGTTCCGAGGAGCCGACTGTAAGGTTCGCAGGGATCCGCCCGCCTTGGCCGGGCTCCACCCACCAGTGAGCCCCGCCCGCTAGGGTCCCGCCCTAGACGCCTGCAGGCCCGCATCCTGCCTCATTCTGGCCCTGTTGTTTCCACGCCAGGTCCCTATAGGCTTCTGCCTGCTTACAGGGCCCCAAGGCACAAGCGAGCAGCTAAGGCAGAGAACCAGCGTGAAGGTTACTCCCAAGTCCTCAGTCCTGTCCCTTCCAACCGTGCTCAAGGTCGACCTGACAAGTGTTTGTATTCTGGAGATCCTGCAAAAAACAAAAAACAAAAAACAAAAAACAGTTTAAGAGGATTCCAAACCCCTCACATCAGTCGCAACCTTTTCTCACATTCACGGTTATTGGACCCCTGGGTCTGGAGACAGAGGTTCTAGCCTGGGCCTAGGAGCATCATCAGCAGTGGGCAGGATCATTGTCGGGGGGAAAGGAGGTGGTTACTGCTTTCCTACAGGGTCCATGGCTTCCCTGGGGGCACAGAGGAGCACAGTATCCAGCCTGCATCCAGCCACGGCAGACAGTTCGCATGGAGGGGGGGAGGGGGGCTTTCAAGTCTGTGACTGTTTAGAGCTGTGCAGAAGGTCCGGAACCCTGTCCCTAATCCTGTGATGATCTCCTACCCTTCCTCAAGCCTGATTCATTGTCAGAGATTGGAATCTTTTCCCTCAGAAGGGGTGTGTGGGTGTGGGAAAGTGTCTGAGTCTCCAGAAGGCCTGGAAACCCTTACCTGCTGCTTCCCTGAGTTGAAGAAATCGCTGTCTCACGGAACGGGGTGAGGGGCGGGGGGGGGGGCATACTGGATCCTCAAAGGCTGTATCTGATCCTCTCCAGATTCCTGGCAGCAAAAACCAGGCCTTGGTGCGGAGGGGACTTCCCGGAACCTTCTCAGAGGCCCTGCTGTAGTGGGTTTATGAAGGGCAAAGAAGGGCCCATAGAATTGATACTGTATCCAGGTTCTTGGTCTGGAGTATCGCGATATGAGGGTATCAAAAAGGCCGATCTCTCCCTGCTGTTTCTTCCTTCACTAGGAGTGTCTCGCCCTACGGTCACCGGCCCGGAATGCTATGTGCTGTTACAACCCCCCCGCTATCATACTACCCATTTCCCAACCTTAGGTAAGTTTGGCGCCAGCAGAGACAAGTTGGGGGTGGGAAATGCCTGTTGGGGCGCTCAGACAGGGAATTAACGCCAGGGGGCGCTAGTGCCGTGGGGAAGTCAATGGTTGCCAGAGACCAGAAGACCTCAACAAGGGCTTGAGTTGGCAGTGGACTTAGAGTCAAGGGAATGGGGTTCAGAGTTTTATATAAAGGTTAAGAAGTCAAGGCTGGGGAGTTATGTCTCGGGTATCAGAAATTCAACGGTAGAACCTGAGGTCAGTGTGTGGTCAGTGTCAGCGGGAAAATGTTGAGATGAGGTCAATATTGAGAACTGGAGTCAGGCTCATCTTTTCTTGCAGATGGGACACAAGTCACTTCAAGAAAACCGGTGGTCCCCAGAGAAACAACTATGTTGTCCATCCTGAGTTTGTGTCTGAGTCCTATCCTCTCTACCATTCCTGGTAAAGCTTTGGCCAGGCCAAGGAAGTGGGTGGAGCAATAAACTCTCCACCACAAAAACTGCTTCCCGTGTCCTTGTGTGGAAAGATCTGGATGTCAACCGCTCCAATCATTTCAGGACTAAGCGCCCTCCTGATACAGCAGTAACCCAGCTGATGTCCTCCTCCCCATCACCGCAGAGCCTGAGTCCAGCTAGCCATGCAGATCTGTGGACTTGAAGACCCTCTAGCCGACATTTTCCCCAAAATACTCATAAACATAGATTCCTCTCACCGCTCAGATCCCAGGTTTCCATTCCAACCTCCCAAATGCTCTCTGCTCAGACACCTTTGCCACCCTCCCCTACCCGGTCTAAGCGCTACAGAACGGAATTTTGGAAAGACTCATGATCAAGAAACTTCAAATTGTAACAGATCTGTTTCTCTGCCCTACAAGGGAGCAGTGGGTGGAGTGTTCTGGAATCTTCTCTTGCACCACCACTGGCTTTAGGGGAACAGGAAAGGGTGCACAGCACACCCATCTCTGCAGCTCAGGCTTTTTTTTTTTTAATTTTTCAAGACAGGGTTTCTCTGTGTAACTATTCTGGAACTCTCTCTATAGACCACACTGGTCTTGAACTATCAACTATCAGAGACCCACCTACCTGCCTCTGCCTCCTGAGTGCTGGGATTAAAGATGTGTGCCATCACTGCCCAGCCAGCACAGGAGTTTCTAACTAAAAGTTGTCACTAAGAGAAGGAGCTGCACATTATAGGTCAGAGAGTGGGCATTTCAAAACACTGAGCAGAAACAGGTACACTGCCGGTCTGGTCCTGTGAGAAGTGAAGGCTTAGAAGACAGGCCGACCGGGTCTACCATCCCCCACTGTGGAGCGCTTCACTGGGGTGTTATTAGTGGGGGGTGGGAACACAGGTTCTCCTGGAACTGCCATACCTGTTTCTACACTTACTATAGGTGTCGTGTGGAGACGAGAGGCCAGCCTGTGGGGGCCGGCTCTCTCCTTCCACCCTGTGGGTTCCAGAGATCTAACTTGGGTCAGCTAGCTTGGTAGCAAGTGCCTTTATGTGCTTACCATCTCTCCGGCCCCCGAGTTAGATCTTTATATTATCTAGCTGCCCACATCTAGAGGAAATGGATTCCCAAAGACTTCTTAGCCACTGTTCTATTGCTGTGAAGAGACACCATGACCACAGCAACTCTTATAAAAGAAAGCACTTAACTGGAGGCTGGCTTACAGTTTCAGAGGTTTAGTCCATTATCATCATTGTGGGGAGCAGGCAGACATGGTGCTGGAGAAGGAGCTGAGAGGTCTACATCCTGATCAACAGTCAGAGAGACTCTGAGCCGGAATGGGCTTCTGAAACCTCACAGCCCACTCCCAGCGATACACTTCCTCCAACAAGGCCATGCCTACCCCAACAAGGTCATGCCTTCTAATCCTTGTAATCCTTTCAAACAGTACCGTGCCCAGGATAGATGAGCCTAAGAGGGAGCCATTCTTATTCAAACCACCACAGCTACCTCTGGCCCCTCACCTTGCGGCGCTCTCACACACATAGCAAATCTAGTCTGAGTTGCAAGAACCCCAACATTAAGCAACGCCTCCTTCCTTCAGAACTACATCTCCCATAAGGCCTGGGGATGAGCCAGGCCAGCGATGGCCTGCTCTCATCGCCGGGGCGGCGCCTGAGGCAGGAGGTGGAACCACGAGGCACCAATCTAGAGGCTGGCCCAAAGGGCAGCGCCGGGGCGGTGAGAAGAAAGTCTCGGCTAAGCACTGGGCGCGTCCCGAGGCCGTGGGGGCGGGGCCGGGCGCCAGGGGCGGGGCTGGAGTCCCACGTCTGAAGCCCCATTGGACGGCTGGGCGTGGCCGAGTCGCCCGAGGGCGGGGCGCAGGAGGGGCTCCACGGTGCCCAGCCAGGCAGCCACCCGCAGGGGCTGTGGCTGCTCAACTTCTGCTGGCGTGGAGAGAGAATCTACCGGTGGGTCCCTTCTCCCCGTCTTCCGTGTAGGGGTCACTGCGGTGAGTGAGCCCAGCGGGAGGCCTTTGAGGCTTGCGGGGGTGCTGCGCTGCCTGAGGAGCACAGTTCCTGAACTTTCTCTGGTTGGTAGAGGACACCTGAGCCCCTCCTTAGGCCAGAGGTTCCCAGCGGGCGATGGGTCCCTTGACCTTCCTCTGCCCCTTTGGGCCGGTGTGGGATGTGGCGCCGAGGGTGGGTGTGAAGTATTCCAGGCTGCGTGAGAGCAGTCACTTGATCCTTGTGGCTCCTGTCCCTGAGCAGGGGAGGGAGATGGGCAGGATCGAATTGCCTTTGACATTTCCACTCCCCTCCCAACTGTGTCCCACAAAGGACTCTGCCTTAAGTGGCTCAGCTGGGCTGAGCTGGGCCCTCGCCCTTAAACTGTGGGCTAGGAGTCGGCAGCCAAGGCTGAGGTTGAGTGTGAAGCGAGCGGGAAGAGGCTGCTGAGGCTGAGCCTAGGGGTGGGGTGGCTGATCCCACCTGCTCGCTCGCTTTAGTCTGTGTTTGGCCAGGTGGCAGACGCGACAGATTACAGGGGTCTTGAACGCCACTAAGGCTGGAGCACAGAGTTCCTCCCCCACAGCTGCAATACCAGATGCCATTAAATTGCCCCTTTCGCGCCCCTAAAATCTTCCTGAACTGCCTGCGGCAAGCAGAAGCTGCAGCAGCCCTGGAAAAGACAAGCCTCACTGGTCCACGCCCATCTCTCGGTATGGAAGGTGGAGGCAGGGTTTCGGACCCCAGGGCACTTCGTTGTCTGGGTGCCTGCTGACAAGCCCTGTTTTCCCGTCTGAAAGGGGACACAACAGCTCATGGTGCTGGTGGTATTGGACGCTGCCGGTTCCTTTGGAAGAACACACTGAGACCCCATCAAAGTGGGTGCTTAAATCCGTGGACTCCTGTCCTTCATCAAAGAACCTAGGAATTCTAAAAACTGGTTCTCGGAACCCAAGCGTTTAAAGAGCTTTTGAAGCCACCAAAGTGAGCCTTTCAGGCCCCCAGGGGTCATAAGATAAGGCCAATTTATATATTAAGTTTTGAGGCTGAGGGAGTCCTTTCCTGTTTAGAACCCGACCCTCTCCTCTTAATCCCTCAGTGCCCAAAACGTAGCCTTGGTTGTTGAGTGAATGACGGAAGGTGTACAATCGGTCAGGCTTGGGCCCCTACCGTCGCCTTTGGGTTCCACTTCGCTTTGTGAGAGTGTCAGCAAAGGACAGTGCTACCTACAAGAGGCTAGGGCAACTCTAGATTGTGTAGGCGGAGAGGAACTGGGGCCGGGCAGTGACTGGAGAGAGTAAAGTGTGGGGAGGGATAAAAATGGTAATGCCAGCCGGGTGGCAGTGGCACAGGCCTTTAATCCCAGCACTCGGGAGGCAGAGGCAGGCAGATCTCTGAGGCCAGCCTGGTCTACAAAGAGAGTTCTACAAAGAGAGTTCCAGGACAGCCAGGGCTGTTACACAGAGGAACCCTGTCTGGAAAAAAGAAAAAAGAAAAAAAAAACAAAAGAAAGAAAGAAAGAAAGAAAGAAAGAAAGAAAGAAAGAAAGAAAGAAAGAAAGAAAGAAAGAAGGAAGGAAGGAAGGAAGGAAGGAAGGAAGGAAGAAAAAGACAAAAGAAAAGAATGATGCTGACTATTGTCTTCTAGGATCAAAATTCTGATCTGTACCTGACATTCTTTTTTTTAAGATTCATTTATTTTTATTGTATATGTGTGGGTATTGGCCTGAATGTATGTGCCCGGTGCCTGCAGAAGCCAGAAAAGGGCATTGGATCCCCTGGGACTGGAGTTACAGACAGTTGTGAGCAGCGGTGTGGGTGTTAGGATTCGAACCCTGGGTCCTCTGGAAGTTGTACTCTCCGGCCCCTGCACCTGGCATTCTTGACAGATTCTGCATGGGAGAGCTGGACAAGTAGGAGAGTCTGAGCAGTTTTTTCACCTTGGAAGTCACTGGAGACAGACAGACAGACAGACAGACATTTGGACAGACAGACAGACACTGGCATCTGAGAAGCGACTAATTACCATCTGCCAGTCTCTCTCCTCTCCCCCAGCTGGGGAGTTGGGCAACCCACTGGCTGGTAGTGTGTCTGCCTGTGTTTGCACGTGGCTGGTGTGTTCCTTTGTTGGACTCTGCCCTTGAAGGTTGCGACAGGAAGAGTTAGTGGCCTTTAGCAGAAGGTTGAGACAAACCTTCTCCCAAGCCTGCATTCTCCTGCAGACGCGTTTCAATGTTTAATATTCCTTGTGTTTATGTGTGGTGGTGGGTATCTATTCCCTGAAGAGCTGATAGGCTGAGGAGAGGTTATCAGGCTAGACAGCTGGAATCTTAAGGCAGGGGACTTGCGGGTTTAGGTTAGGGAATGAGCCTAGTAGTCTTGGGATAGATAGGCCTGGCTGGATATGGAATCAGAAAAGGAGCTGAGCTCAGATGTGGTGATGTATGATTGTAATCCCAGCTATCCAGAGGTTAGGGCCGGAGGATTACAAAGTCAGGGACACTCTTCTGGGCTGCATGGAGACATCGCTGGAACCACATCGTGTCTTGAGCTTTGATTGCACAGCTTACAGCTTCTCTCCTGGGAGCAGAGAAGAAAGATGAGCAGAAGAAATGGGCTTGATGGTTAGTGGCTTGGAGCCAGGGAAAATTTGTATGCAAAGAGGGGCAGATCAGAGAAGCAAGTTCCTTTGCCCAGCTCCTGCCTGAGCCCTAATGTTGGACCCCGGTCCTACCCTTCCTCCAAACCAGTCTCTGTGACTAAATGTGGCTTTGGGTGCTTTCTTCAATTTCCAGAGAGCCATCTAGTTGGACTCAAGATCAAATTCCATGACTGAGTTGTCCCTTTTCCTCTTGTCCTTACCTCTCTGGAGACGGAGAAGCAAGCATACCGCCCTGTTAAGGGTCTCAGGGAACTGGCTGGACCATTCGGCCTCTCCTACCATGGCCTTACATGTGGTAGAGTAGGCCCTCTTCTTAGCCAGGGCTTCTTCAGTCCTCCCTCAGGGGCTTAGGCTGTGATCCTGGACAGTGCCTCGATTCTCTGGGTTTGTTTTTCCACCCGGAAAAGACAGAGGCGTACTTTCTCATTCACATGGTTCTCTCCATTCACAGAGTTCTCACCAATTTGGCAAGCAGTAGGGCCTGAGAGAAAGGAGGGTAAGACACTGACTGTCCTGGACAAGAGCCCTGCCTTTGCCACTTGTCAAGCTCTTAGGCCCCTCTACGAGGCGGCAGAAACGGAAACGGTGGAAACAGTGGAAGAGAAAGCTCAGTGTCCGCTCTCTCTCTCTCTCTCCCTTTGCAGATTCCAGCAGGCCAGATTCAGATGGGCTTGGTGTGGTGGGTCTAGCTGGGGACTAATGCCCCAGAACCTTCGAGAGAAGAGCCAGGCCTACCCCCGACACCGACCTAGTAGCAACACAGGCGCTAAAAGTCTCAAAGTCATCCCAGCAGCAACCATGTACACTTTCCTGCCTGACAATTTTTCACCTGCCAAACCCAAGCCCACCAAAGAGCTGAGGCCTCTGCTGGGCTCGGCGTTATTGGGTCTGCTGCTGGTACTGGCGGCGGTTGTGGCCTGGTGCTACTACAGCGCCTCCCTACGCAAAGCTGAACGCCTGCGTGCAGAGCTGCTGGACCTGAACCGTGGCGGCTTCTCCATCCGTAACCAGAAGGGTGAGCAAGTCTTCCGCTTGGCCTTCCGTTCCGGGGAGCTGGACCTTGACTCTTGCAGCCGGGAGGGTGCCCTGCTGGGCTGCTCCCGAACCGCCGATGGGCGCCCGTTGCACTTCTTCATCCAGACTGTACGACCCAAGGACACCGTCATGTGCTACCGCGTGCGCTGGGAGGAAACCACACCAGGGCGTGCTGTGGAGCACGCCATGTTTCTGGGAGACGCGGCGGCGCACTGGTATGGCGGCGCAGAGATGAGGACGCAGCACTGGCCTATCCGCCTGGATGGCCATCAGGAGCCGCAGCCATTTGTCACGAGCGACGTCTACTCTTCTGACGCCGCATTCGGGGGCATCCTCGAGCGCTACTGGCTGTCTTCACGCGCGGCCGCCATCAAAGTCAATGATTCAGTGCCCTTCCACCTGGGCTGGAACAGCACCGAGCGTTCGATGCGGCTACAGGCACGCTACCACGACACATCTTACAAGCCACCAGCTGGCGGCACCGCAGCGCCAGAGCTCAGCTATCGCGTGTGCGTGGGCTCAGATGTCACCTCCATCCACAAGTACATGGTTCGGCGTTACTTCAACAAGCCATCCCGGGTACCAGCATCAGAGGCCTTCCGAGACCCCATTTGGTCCACGTGGGCGCTGTATGGGCGCGCCGTGGACCAGAACAAGGTGCTGCAGTTCGCCCAGCAGATCCGCCAGCACCGCTTCAACAGCAGCCACCTGGAAATCGATGACATGTACACACCCGCCTATGGCGACTTCGATTTCGACGAGGGCAAGTTCCCCAATGCCACTGACATGTTCCGCCGCCTGCGGGAGGCTGGCTTCCGCGTCACCCTTTGGGTGCATCCGTTTGTCAACTACAACTCGTCGCGCTTCGGCGAGGGCGTGGAGCGTGAGCTGTTCGTGCGCGAGCCCACGGGCCGGCTGCCCGCGCTGGTGCGCTGGTGGAACGGCATCGGCGCGGTACTGGACTTCACGCGGCCGGAGGCCCGAGACTGGTTCCAGGGACACCTCCGGCGCCTGCGCTCACGCTACAACGTGGCCTCCTTTAAGTTCGACGCGGGTGAGGTCAGCTACCTGCCTCGGGACTTCAGCACCTACAGGCCTCTGTCCGACCCCAGTGTGTGGAGCCGGCGGTACACTGAGATGGCGTTGCCCTTCTTCTCGCTAGCCGAGGTCCGCGTCGGGTACCAGTCACAGAACATCTCCTGCTTCTTCCGCCTGGTGGACCGCGACTCGGTATGGGGCTACGACCTGGGGCTGCGCTCTCTTATCCCCGCCGTGCTCACGGTCAGTATGCTGGGCTATCCGTTCATCCTGCCGGACATGGTGGGTGGCAACGCGGTGCCGGAGCGCACAGCCGGCCGCCAAGAGGGGCCGGGGCCGGAGCGCGAGCTCTACGTGCGCTGGCTGGAGGTGGCGGCCTTCATGCCCGCCATGCAGTTTTCGATCCCGCCCTGGCAGTACGACGCAGAAGTGGTAGCCATCGCACACAAGTTCGCCGCTCTGCGCGCCTCGCTCGTGGCGCCCCTGCTGCTCGAGCTCGCTGGTGAGGTCACCGACACTGGCGACCCCATCGTGCGCCCCCTGTGGTGGATCGCACCGGGGGATGAGACGGCCCACCGCATCGACTCGCAGTTCCTCATTGGGGATACGCTGCTGGTGGCGCCGGTGCTGGAGCCTGGGAAGCAGGAGCGCGATGTCTATCTGCCCGCCGGCAAGTGGCGCAGCTACAAGGGTGAGCTTTTTGATAAGACGCCGGTGCTGCTCACGGATTACCCTGTCGACCTGGACGAGGTCGCCTATTTCACCTGGGCGTCCTGACCCACTTCAAGACCTAGGAATCCTACAGTCCTAACCCCAGCCTTCATGCAGATTTTTAATCCTTTACCACACCGGAATGGTGCACCCTCGGGAAGTCCCCACCTCTATTCCGCCTAGGAAGTGGGCACTGATGTAAAAGTGCTCCAGCCAACAGCTGTAGGTGAGACCTGGGAGAAGTACCGAAGCAACCTCCCCCTGTCCCAGTGCACAGTCCTAACAGCCCCCAGTCTTCAGAAACCTCTCCCCTGGGTTGGAGGCCCGAGAACTCAGAGGACAAAGGTCTGTTCTTTCCGTTACACAGGGTCTGGTTTTAAAAGCACACAGAGAAACCTCTCCGTTCCCTGGCCTTTGTAGCCATCTTTATCCTCTGAGATGAGGAACCGATTCTCTGCAAAAATTCCCAAATAGTTTCCTACCATATTAGAAAATGTACCTTTAGCTGGGCGATGGTGGCGCACACCTTTAATCCCAGCACTTGGGAGGCAGAGGCAAGTGGATCTCCGAGTTCAAGGCCATCCCGACCTACAGAGCAAGTTCTAGGACAGCCAAAGCTACACAGAGAAACCATGTCTCAAAAAACAACAAAAAGAGAAAAGAAAGTATACGTTCTTGGTGACAGCAGCTAGGCCCTGAGTTCCCAGCACACACCTGAGCAGTGATTGACCTGGCCCCAGATGGAAGAAAGATACAGATGTTTGGTTTGGCCAGCTGACAAGGAAGCAAAAGGTCTCTTCCTAAGCAGTAGGGGAGCTGGGCTCGGGCTGGACTAATTGTCTCTGTGAAGAGACTCAGAACACTGCACTAACCTATTTGTGTATATACTGGACTCAACTTTGGACCCAGCCCTGGGCCAGAAGTGCCTAGCGGGCAGACTTGCAGGGCCATGCAGGCCAGACTCATGCCTTAATTCAAGAACTTGTGTCTATGTGTGTATGTGTACACATACTTGTATCTGAGAGAGGGGGGAGGGGGAGGAGAGAGGTGCCCACCACGGATCTCTGAGTAACGAACGGAATATCTCTGAGGCTGGATAATCCGAGAGGGAGGAGGATGCAGGAACAAACTCAAGGCTTTGATTGTTGAGCGCTTTCCAGATGGTTTCCCTAGGAGAATGCCAGCCCCAGTTTAAGAGTTCAAAACACGGGTTGGGGACTTAGCTCAGTGGTAGAGCGCTTGCCTAGCAAGCACAAAGCCCTGGGTTCGATCCCCAGCTCAAAAAAAGAGTTGAAAACACTAGAGCTGGGCTGAGGAGGTGACTCAGGTGCCAACCTGAGTTCAATCACTGTAGGAAAGAAACAGCCCTTTCAGATTTCTCAGCTGTCTCACTGTGCACACATGCTCAAGTGTGGCCTGAAAGGGAGCTGTGTTCTTCCTCCGGCAGTGATGTGTTTGGCACGTGAGTGACATTATACCCTGACACCTGCCAACACATGTATCGGGGAAGGTCTTTCATCTCGGTAATCCTCCTGCTCTAAGATCAGCTCCAGCCAGAGTGAGTTTTTCCTGACTCTGTGGCTAAGTCTGGAGGAGTGGTTTGCCAGAGAAGGTGGAAAATGAGGTGGGGCTCAGCTTCCCTCAGTGGCTCTGGCAACCAAGCCTCTGCCCGAATCCCTAATTTCTCTGGGTGAAAAGCCCTGAGCTTCAGGGCTCCCACAGACGCCCGTCTGACTCCAGTGCCAATTCCTTTGTTTCTTTTCGGTGGCAAGTCGAAGCTAGAACCCAGGCTCCAAGCATACTAAGCAGCGCTCTTCCAGGGAGCTACATCCCTGGTCTTGGTTGTCAATCAGCTGGGTGACCTTGAATAAGCCCTGAACCCCACTGAGCCTCAGTTTTTTTTTCTATGTAAAAGTGATGATCATGCCTACCTCCAAGGTCATTTTAATAACAAGCACAGATATATGGAAAGTGCCTAGCACAAAGTAGGTGCTCAATAAAAGATAGCCATTGTAGTAGTATTTGTTGTTTTCTTGCTTAGAAACAAGGATTCTTTGGGATTTTTAAAGGCTTGCTATTTATGCATATGAGTGTTTTGCCTGCATGTACTGCATGCATGCCTGGTGCTTGTGGAGGTCAGAAAAGGTCAACAGGTCCGCTGGAACTAGCATTATGGATAGTTGTGTGCCATCATGTGGGTGCTGGGAATCGAACCCATGTTCTCTGTAGGAGCAACCAATGCTCTTAACCTCTGACCACCTCTCCAGCCCCTCCTGTCCTGTCCCACCCCTGCCGTACCTCCTGTGCAGTCCCAATCTGTCTCTCTCCCTGAACACTGGATCTGAGCAGCCTAACATTGCTCCTAACTGCTGCCTCCAGCAGCCTTGTATTGCTACTCTCGTCCTGCGCCTCGGCTGTTGTGTATGTGCAGCAGGGTGACATACAGCAATCTGGAACCCCCTTCTCTAGAGGTAATGGGGAGGCCCTGAATGGCCACCGAAGGGGGCCTCGGCATGGATTATGAATGGGTTAAGCTTTAGCCAAGTGAGTTTTCTAAGAGAATTTTGTCTGTCATTCCCCCACTCCTGAGTAAAGTGTCTCTGACTCTTGCTCGGGATCCAGAGCAAGCATCCGCTGCTGGGTCTCCTCCACAAGCCCCCAGGACCCTTCTCCTTCCCCAAATCCAGGGTGAGACTGGCCTCTCCATCCTCTGGCCACTGTTGAACAAAGACTTAAAGGGTGGTTTGCTAAAAGCACTGACTCTTCACTCGGCCCTCCAGGTGCGCAATGGGTTAACTAAAGGGCAGAACAGAAGCCTGGTGTGATGCCTCTGCTTTGCACCTGTTTCCTCTGCATGGGGTCACTCTCTTACAGTCGGGTGGATTCCAGGAACAGAGCCCCCGATAAACATCTGTGTCAAGGATCAGAACTACCCCTACCCGCAGGCAACTGAACAGGCCTGCCAGACCAATCCTGAGATAATGATCAACCAGACCACAGTTGGACCAGAGTTGATTAACTGTGCACGCTTCTTGCTCTGGATTCTGTCCCTTTCCTATGTAATCTGGGAGCTACTATGAGCACTTCTTATGCCAGGGCTGAAGACATAGCCCCCCTTGGCTTCCTAGTAGAGTTATGCTGACTAAAATTCCTTTCCTGCTTTTCACTAGTTCTCTGTTTTGGAGTCAGATTTGTCAGGATCCCTAGAGTCTGAACTCCAGGACTCCAGTGACGTTCCCTACTTCAGACCTTTTCAGCCACATTCTACTAACAGACCTTCAAGTCCATCCCACACAACATGTCTCCAACCATACCACCCTGAACATGTTTGATCTTGTCCATCCCACACAGCAGTCAAGGAGAGCTCTCCAAGGTTCAGTCATGTCCCTGGTGGGGTATATTCTGGTCGGGGTTCAAACCTTCTAAGATCTGATCCTTCTAGGCCTTGTTTCACCCATATTCTTGGGTCATATAAGTCTATTTTGAAAAGCATTTGAAGAATCACTGCCTCCTATCCTGGGGGTAACTGTACAACTGTCCCTTGCTAGGAGAGGTCTGCTCAGGCTTAGCCTTGAAGGAAAATGCAGTGGCCACTGGGTGGTTTCCTTTCCTTCCATTGTTTGGCTCCAAGGGTTTCTGCTAACAACCCCCACAGGGTACACCCCAGCTCCAAGGCACAGCCTGGGTTTTTTTGTTTTTTTTTAAATCTTAAAGCTAATCATTTACTTCAGTAAGCCCAAGGATCTTTCCAGCAGCTTGATAAGAGGGGAGCTATTCAGCTTTGGGTGGCCAGACCTAAGTGGCACTGGAGGAGGCCCTGTTCCTGGGTGTGCCCAGTCTAGAGGATGTGGAAAGTCGTGCCCTTGTGCTCTCTATCTTTAGACTGCCTTCTCCCTCCCAGGTGCCTTTCCCACTCCAGATTCACAAGGCTGATTGGAGTGAGGGGACGGAAGGGTCTGAGTTCTGACTGCCTACCGACATCACGGCCTCAAGGGGGCAGCAGGAGGAAGCTGGCACCACCCTCCAGCCCTCCAGTGAGTAGAGTTGGGTCAGACCAAAGGCTACGATGACAGGATTCAGCCTGGAAGACATGAAGGAGACATGCGCCACGGCTCCCACACCTGCACAGGAATTTCTACTACATTTCTTAAGGTCTCCAACTGAGCAAACAAGTACCTTCTGCGGACACGTAAGCCATTGTTGGCGTGATCGAGAGGGCATTTGGATTTCCCAGAGCCTCTGTGCCCTAGGAAAGGAAAACTTAGGCCTCCCTTGTGGGGCTAAGCCCGTCAGTTGTCTCTTCACCCTAGGTGGAGGAGGTAGGAGTGAGGGAAAAAGGGGGGGGGGGTCCAGAAAGAGCACCTCTGGGCCCTGGATAAGCAGGAAACAGGATGGATGGTTATTGGGGGGAGCTTCCAGGAGAAGTAGATCTGGATGTTGGAAGGCCCCAAATCGAAGAAGACGCTGAAGCTTTCCCACCTCTCTATCCTCTGAGAGGTGAAAGCACACCTAGAATCCAGGAGGTGAGCCGCCCTCTCCTCTGCCTGCCGCAGGTATTTACCCGGCACCCAGCACGTGTCCACCCTGCGCCGGAGAAAAGACGTCATTTCGTGTCATTCCACGAGCATTCTTCCTCTTTGTGCCTGAGATATGAAAAGAGATAATGGTCGCTTTCTAAACCTCATGGTCTTTACGGACCAGGCCCTAGTTTGGGTTTTAGTCCGTTCCTTGTAGGATACTCACTCCCTCTTCCTTTTCCAGGGCCCATGCTTAGCTGTTCCATCCTACTATGGTGGTTTGTGTTTTGAGACAGGGTTTCTCTGTGTAGCCCTGGCTGTCCTGGATCTCGCTCTGTAGACCAGGCTGGCCTCAAACTCACAGAGATCTGCCTGCCTCTTGCCTCCTGAGTGCGCATGTGCCGCCACCACCCCGCCCGCCCATCCTACTATGTTTAAACTCTACTCTTAGGTACCTCCCTGACTTGTGCCCTAACCCTGACCACTGATGATTCTACCTGGACCCAACATTTTCCAGCATGGCTTGGAAACCAAGCTAGAACTTTATGGTGCAGGGTCAGGCTCAAAGTGCCTACCTCAAAACATTGTCTTATCAAAAAGTGCTTTTTTTGTATAAGTTTCTTAGAAAAATCAAAGGCAAAACTCAACTTATTTTCAATTAACATTGCTATTCAGTCATCGTACTATGCTTATTTAAGTTTTTGAGACAGTCTCATGTAGCCCAGACAGGCCTCAGATTCACTATAGAATGGTCCTGACCTAACTCCTACTCCTGGTCACCCTGCCTCCACCGCCAATACACTTGGCAGGTTCTCATACTGTACCACAAGCTGACCTCAAACTCACTATATAGTCTGTACTAGCCTTGAAATTGAAGTAATTCTCCTGCCTCAGCCTCTCAAGTGCTGGGATTAGAGGCATGAGCCTGACTTATCATCAGCCTCTATGGCTGACTTAAAATATTTTTTAAAGGAATAAGCAAAAGAAATGTAAGGCTATACATTGCAACTGTACACAGTGTTGAAAGACATTAAAAATAACATAGATAGAAGTGAAGACATGGTCATAAATTGTAATATTTACTACTATGAAGATGGCAATACTTCACTAATCTATAGATTCAGTATAATACTTACCAAAATCCCAGCTAAATTATTTGTGGAAATCAACAAGTCAGTCTAAAATTCATAGGAAGCTGGATGTGGTGGCCTATACCTTCAACCCAGTCCCAGTACTTGAGAGGCAGAGGCAAGTGGAGCTCTGTAAGGTCAAGGCCAACCTTGTGAATTCCAGGCCAGCCAGAGCTACAAAGTGAGACCCTGTATCAAAAATAAACAAGTGAATAAATAGATAAAATTCATAGGGAAATCTAAGGGACCCAGAATAGCCAAGGCAATCTTGAAAAAGAACAAAGTTGGAAGATTCATACTTTTCAATTCATTACTTATTACAAACCTATAATAATGATCATGTGATGCTAGCACTAGCTTTAAGATAGACATATACTGTCAGGCATGGCAGCCACGCCTTTAGTCCCAGCACTTGGGAGGCAGAGGTAGCTGGATCTCTGGTCTCCACAGTGAGTGCCAGGACAGCAAGAGCCATAGTGAGATCCTGTCTAGAAAAAGAAAACAAAACAAAAGATAGACATATCGTCTAGGAATGGTGAGCCGTCATCTCACTGGGTAAAAGTGCTATGCAAGCCAGACAACCTGAGTTCAAGCCCCAGAACCCTCAGAGAGGTGGAAGGGAAAAACCAACTCCACAAAGTTCCTCTGACCTCCACATGCGCACGGTGGTACGTGTGCAACCCCCCACTCCTACCCTGAATCACACACAGAGACACAGAGACACAGAGACACATAGAGACACACAGAGACACACACACACAGACACACACAGACACACACACACACACACACACACACACACACTGGTTTTTTTTAAAATTGAAAAATGGGGGGGGGGTGCATGATGATTCGGTGACTTCAAGTACCAGCTGCTCTTCCAGAAGACCTGGGTTCAGTTCCCAGCAGCCACATGATGATGGCTCACAACCATCTGTCACTCCAGTTTTGGGGATCTGACTCCCTCTTCTGGCCTCCAACGGTACTAAATGCTCACCTGGTGCACAGGTTCACACACAGGCAAAACCCAATACAGCTTTAAAAATAGGGGAAAAATATAGTTCAATGGAATAGGTTTGAGAATCCAGAAATAAACCCAGGAACAAAACATTTGTGTCCGTGCGTGCGTGCGTGCGTGCATGTGTTTTTACTGGGTCTCTTGTATGCTAAGCAAACATTCAACCACTGAACTTCACTTCCAGTTAAGGAATCATCATTTTTTTTTTCTTTTTCAAAGGATAGTTTGGGTGGAGGAGAGCAGTCTGGAGAGACAGCTCAGCAGTTAAGAGTGTTTGCTGCTCTTCCAAAAGACAGGGGTTTGGTTCCCAGCACCCATGTCATCTGCCTCATAACTGCTTCTAAGTCCAGCTCCAAGGA